GTGTGTGTGTGTCCCTTACCCCCTCTAGCCAGAGAATGTTTCTTTTCAGTCTTTCAGTTTGTAGAAAATTCTTACCTGCTTTTGTTTCTTCAAAACTCTCTATCTAGATCTAGAAATTCCTTTCCTCTAAAGATTCAGGCCTTTGGAAAACAAAAGCCAAAAAGACTTGTAGTCGCCTCTGCTTGCCTCTGCTTTCTACCTTGCCATGTGCCTCCCCTGGAACAATTAACATAGAGCTTTTACTTTCTGCTTGAACAGAAAGGACACAAGGAAAATAGAGACAGGTAAAAGCTTAATATGTCAAAATATTATCCCACCATAACAGTAGATAGAGAAACGCTGACTATATCTCCTTAAGGCAGATGAATTCTCCAGAGCTAACTGGAGGTTAGGAGGAATACATTTCATTTAACGACCAAATATCCCTATAAAATGCAGGTGTAGTCCCATCCTCCTTTCCCAAGTTGAACTTCTACCTCCCAGAATATCAGGAAATATGTTAAGCTTGCCAAGGAGGGGATAAAAAGATGTGAAATGAGTAAATCCTTTATCTGAAGTTCTAATGGAATTCTAGCAAATAAAACCATGGAGAGATGAATGAAACAGATTGATGATGGAGGTCCACTGTAAGCCCTGAATCTAATTGGATGTAATTCAGAGTTCTTTTCTCCATAGCATTTTGGGGTTTGTTTTCCTGTAATCATCACACATTTTCAGTTCTTATTGGGGACTAGAGTCCCCTCTGGCGTCCCGTCCCATTTTATGATTCTGTGACTATGGCTGGGTAACTCTGACGTTGAAATCCCATTTTCGAGGGAAAAAGCTGGTAAGAGAGGTGCTCCCTGAAGTGCCATCCTATTCCTGACCTTTGTTCTTTTTTGATTCCTTTATCCTACGCCTTTTTAAAGGAAATGTCTAGATAATGTAATATTTACTCAGAACTGTGAGGATTAAAGGAAAGATGTATCTTAAGAACCTAACTTAACACAGTATTTGGCATCATAAACAGTAGCTATTAAAATGTGAAAAGTACTTCATAAACTTCTAAAGTACTTTGCAAATATTAGTTATTATTACTCTTGGCACAAATTGAGAATAACAGCCTTTTAGAAACAAATGATAAATTTGTTTTTGTCCAAATCTCAAGTTATCTTTTAAAATGTTAAATAAGTATTGCAGTAGATGTGACTCCTAGCCCACTATAATTCATAAGCAGAGAATCATTTGTATCTATTTACATAGGTGTTTGCACTCATCTAAAGATAATGATTAATTAGAGATTTCTCAGAAAGCATTCAAGCAATTGGCCTATAGCACCTTTATAAATCATGTTTCACATATCTTAATATGGTGACAGTTTATAGAGCCAGTGAAAAGTTGCTTTGACTGTGGAAAGCCCATTTTTGTAAGGGTGAAAGATCACATTGACTAACCAGCTCAGTGTCAGCTGATTTCCTTTCTTGATGCTGATCATCTGTGATGTTACCAATAAGCTTCACGTTGGGAAAACACCCAGAGGAGGTACTGGCCAATGCAATTCACAAAACAGAAGCCAGCCATGAATTTAACCTTCATGACCACATTCCTCCCATATTCTTGGAGTACAGCATTAATAATGGAAAAATCAGTTTAAAAAAATTGAGAACAAGGGGATTGGTCTCCAGTTAAACTATCCCACTTTCATCAAACAGTATTTCTGGAGTGCCCACAAAGTGCCTGAAAATGTATCAGCACCAACATCTTACTGAGTTTCCAGTTAGGTTGAAAGACCAGATGTGACAGCCTCACATTAACATACTAAATTCCAGAATCCAAGAGATAAATATGTTATCAATGAGATGAAATAATACCTGATTTTTGAAACTGGTGGAGGAGAAAAAAACATAACCAGCGTATTGTTGAAAAAAAAGTATATTGTACTCTTCATTTGTAGGGAATTAAACCTTTCATCCTGATTACTGTTTGGATTATGGAAATACCAATAACCAATAACCAATGTTCTCAAAACCAATTCAGGTTCTAAAGTAACAAAATGAATGTGTATCATTAAGCTAAGAGGTCAAGGTCTTTGGCTCACCTATATAAATTTGACCTATATAAATTTTAAGGGGCTGATTTTATGACTCAAATATCTTATCCAGGATCATTCCAGACTCTATTCCAATTCCTAATACTCTTTGAACTTGAAGCCATAACCCTTGAATATCATCATTTTATGTTATCAGATTATCACATTTGGGAGACAACTTAAGAAGTTCAGAGTCCAAAGGAATGTTTCTAAGATGGTGTAATGTCTGGGCATGCCCTCTGTGGCCTTTTTTCTCATAGACACTGAGATAATTTCTTGGAAATAATGAAACTGCCTCTGGCGTTCTAAATGCAAAGGCTTATCAAATTCCTGCCTATGTGATCATCAGAAAGCAGTTCAATAAATAATCCCATCTCCACAAAAGTGCCTCCATATGCCTCTCCCAACATTTGACTCTCTCAAAACATAAAATATACTCTCTGATGTCCAAGCCCCAGCTCTTAATGCGCCTCACAACCTCTTTCACTCACCTGAATACTCCTCAACATTGATTTGCCATGCAAAATATGTAAAAGAACATATTCTCTTATTGAGAAACACAGCCAAGTGTCATAGAAGAGTTTACCCAAATTTTCCAACTCCATCTTGAGAGACCGCCAAACAAAAAGGTCATTTGCAGGACTCCACCAGTTCTCTTAATAACATTGAACCTTAATTCTCTAAAATTGGAAGTAAAAGGAAAATCTTCATGTGGGAGGAGTAACTGAACTTCACAGTCTTAATTCCCATGTGCAGAAGTTTCCCTTCTTCTTGGGGATCTTAGCTTGATATTAAGAAGGGAATCAAATACGAGGATATTCTTATAACTCTCCATGTTCAAAATCCCCCCCATGCTTGGGCATGTTCTGGTCCCACTCTTCCTATTTACTCTTTATCTTTTATACACCTTGTATTATTCTATTTGCTTGTTTATTGACCTTAAGCAAGTCACTTAACCTATAAAAGCTTCCTGGTCCTTATCTTTAACTGGAGGTAGTGATATATACAGGGTTGATGTGAGGGTTAGAGATAGCATTTGTAAAAACTATAACACACAGAGTGATGACATATATAAAACAGCTCTCATTGTACCTCGTACAGAACAGGTGCTCAAAAAGTGTTAGTTCTCCTTTAGGGCCATTTGATCAGCCTGAGTATCTAATTCTGTTTCCCATCCTAGTCTTTGCTATAATAGTCATCACCTCCTTGATTTCTGGTACAATGAGTAACCGAAGGTGATTTTCATTCTCTTTCTACAACTGTTCAGAGTTTGTATAAAGTTCAGAGTGCTCACCAACAATCTTGCACTACAGTTCATACTTCTGTAGGCCTGTATAATGATGGAGGCCCCTGATTCTCCATGTTCTGAGTGCTCTGGTCTGTCCTCTGGCTCTCTGAACCACAGACTTGTGAGACCATCACCACTATCAAGATAACTATCCATCACCTCCCAGAATTTCCTCATGCCTCTCTGCAATCTATGTTTCCCACCCATCATCTCTCCCCTGCCCAAGTAGCCACTGATCTTCTTTCTGTCACTATTGATTCATTTGCATTTTCTGTAATTTTATATAAATGCAGTCGTTCAACACATTCTTTTATTTTTGATGTATCTTCTTTCATTCAGTATAATTATTTTGAGATTCATCCATGTTGTTGTATGTATTAAAAGTGCATTCCTTTTTATTTCTGAGTAGAATTTCATTGTGTGGATACTCTCATTTACCTGTCAGCAGACACTTGGGCTGTCTTTTTTGGTATGACAAATAAAACTGCTAGCTAAAGGGATGGAGAAAGATACGCCATTAGAGAAACACTAATCTAAGGAAAGGTGGAGTAGCCATGTTAATTTCAGACAAAGGAGACTTCAGGGATAAAGAAAGCACTACTTAATGATAAAGGGATCAGTTCTTGAAGGGGATATAATAATTCTAACGTGAATACACCTAACAATAGATTGTCAAAATATGTGAGGAAAAACCTGGCAGAGCTGTACAGAGAAGTGAGCAAATCTGTTACCAAACCTAACTTGTGTCTGCTGGCCCGATGTGCAACAAAGCCGATCTACTGACACCGGGTTGTGGTGAAGGAAAGCACAGACAGCATCTACCTCAGGGTGCCGAGGAAGGAGAACAGGCAATTCATGCTCACATGGCCTGAACTCCTCGACGGTTTTTGGAGAAGAGTTTTTAAAGACAGGGTGAGGGAAAGGGTCACAGGGTGCGTGATCCACTCATGCGCAATTCTCTGATTGGTTGATGGCAAAGAAACAGGGTGATGTTTCAGGAATCATCAACCTTCTGGTTCGAACCATGGAGTCTATGTGCTCATGGGGTCAGCATGCACTTAACTTCCTCCACCTGGTGGGGTCTTAGTATCTGCAAAACAGCTCAAGGCTATGACTCAGGGTATTATCTATACCCTTGAGGAAGAACTAAAGGTCATTGACTTTTTTTTATAGCTAAACTATTATTTTTCTTAATTGAAGTATAGTTGATTCACAATGTTGTTCCAATCTCTGCTGTACAGCAAAGGGACTCAGTTATACACTTATGTACATTCTTTTCTTATATTCTTTTCCATTATGGTTTATCACAGGATACTGAATATAGTTCCCCGTGCGATACTGTAGGACCTTGTTGTTTATCCATTCTAAAGGTAATAGTTTGCATTTACCAACCCCAAACTCCCCCAGTCCATCCCTCTCCCTCCCCCGCTCTCCCTTGGCAACCACAAGTCTGTTTCTGTTTTGTAGATAGGTTCATTTGTGCCATATTTTAGATTCCACATATAAGTGATATCACGTATTTGTCTTTCTCTTTCTGAGTTACTTCACTTAGTATGATAATCTCTAGTTGCATCATGTTGCTGCAAATGGCATTATTTCATTCTTTTTTATGGCTGAGTAATATTCCATTGTATATATGTATCACATCTTCTTTATCCATTCATCTGTCAGTGGACATTTAGGTTGCTTCCATGTTTTGGCTCTTGTGAACAGTGCTGCTATGAACACAGGGGGGCATGTATCTTTTTGAATTATAGTTTTGTCTGCATATATTCTCAGGAGTTGGATTGCTGGACCATATGGTCATTCTATTTGTATAAACTATTATTATTTTGTCTTGCTTGACTGTTTTCCTTTGTTTCTACATTTTGTCACTTCTGTGATTGAATTTGCTCTTTGGAACTTGGGGAAGCCCTAGGAGGCTAAAGCTTTTCTACAAATGAGAGGCCAGGGACACAGGGGTCTGTCCCTGAGAAGGCCCTGCAAGGTCCAGCTCCATTTCAAATCCACTGTTACAGTTGGAGATTTCAACACCCCCCTGTCCATTGATAGAGAGCAAACTAGACATGGTCTCCCTCTCCACTGAACTCCTGGGGTACTTATTCAATTCAATTAAGTACTAGATATGATAGGGACCACGAGCTCACATCCCTGTACAGGTCAGGCAATTATCATGAAAATGTTAAGAAACTTCTTTCATATCAGCTTCTGTGTTGCATGTTTTTCTCAAGACCCCATACATTTGCATATTAAAACACGTAGGAATATTCTTCACTCCAGAAAGAAATGTATTTTCTCCAGAGCTTATATTCAAAATATTTAACAAGAGGCCTTTAGCCTGGGTTCCCAAGTTGGATGCCTTCTGGCTGTAATGATGAAGCAGAATCCTGCTGGGGGTGGGAGGTGGAAGGGAGAATAGACTGAAGTGCCTAGGGCAGCGGGGCAACACACAGTGGCTCAGCAGCGGTTACTTATGAACCAATATGGAAGTATTTCTCACCAGCATATGCCGGCTGAATCTCAGCCTTGTCTCTCTCTCTCTCTTTTTTTTTTTTTTTTTTTTTTTTTGCGGTACGCGGGCCTCTCACTGCTGTGGCCTCTCCCGTTGCGGAGCACAGGCTCCGGACGCGCAGGCTCAGCGGCCATGGCTCACGGGCCCAGCCGCTCCGCGGCATGTGGGATCTTCCCGGACCGGGGCACGAACCCGTGTCCCCTGCATCGGCAGGCGGACTCTCAACCACTGCGCCACCAGGGAAGCCCTCTCTCATTTTTTTAAACATGCAGGCTTCTTGGCCTATCCTTTGTCTTCCTATTTTTGATAGAGACATCATATTCTTCTATAAGTGCATGCCCCATCCATAGCAGGCAGCCCTCATTCATCTCCAGCCAAATGTCTTGTGCCAGCTAGAAATGTACATGTTCGTATTGAATCTTTGATGTTGGCTCAACAACTTTTAAATCTCTGTGCAGGTCAAACACTGTGACTTCTAGCCTATTGAATGTATATTATATATTGGGCATTACAAGTGTTCACAAAGGTGTGAATTCTGCCCTGAAAGAACTAATCACCTGATGGAGAGGCTGACAAACAACAATTATTTTACAGTCAATAGTGGGGGTAAAACTGCTTTATATAACTAATAACTTTTTCTTGTGTGTGTGTCTTACCACGCAACCAGACACAAAGTTTCTCTGCTGTCTTTGTCCTCAGCACTAAGTACCATGCTCATAATATTTCGACTGAGCTGTCGTCCTTGCGGTCTCTTGCTTAGTCTGTACAGCTGAAATGAGCAAATGAGAACATAGATGTGCAGCCATTTCATTTAGGTCATCATGTCTCTGCATAATTAGTCTTACAGTAAGTACCGATGGTTTCCAGATAGTAGACAAGGAATAAACCCTTCTGGAATTGAACCAACCTGATCTGCTATGTAGTAGTTTGTTAAAGACACAGACTATGTGTGAGAACAGAGCAGAAGGAAATGTAAAAATGCAGGGCTTCCACGTGAGACTCATATGGGAACTCAGATTTGGAAGACTGCTATGGCTGGCACATCATTCTCAACCTTTACCTTCAGTGCCAAATGGGCCTCATGGTTACTTCTGGAATCAAGTGAAATACAAAGGTGGAGACCAAAACTCAATTATATTATTTTGCCAGAAACGAAAACCTCTAGCTCTAACATATTAATATCCTTTGAAAAATATAAAAAATAGTTATAATATCAACGATAAGTAGTTAAAGGATACAGCTACAAAACAGAATGAGGACATCTTAAAAGGGGAAGAATTCATCCATGTAAATAAAGCATCAAAACAACTTTTTCCCCTATAACCATAGCAAGATCATCCAGTTTTACCCATAGTTCAATCAAATAAGCAAGTATCATATTTACCGTTTCATTCAATCAAGGTTAGATTTTTGATTGATGCTTTTATTATAAAATTAGCACATGTTCATTCAAAGGAAGAATTCAAAAGTGTATAAAATCGAAGCATAGTTTCACCTCCCTCCGCCATCCTACTTCTAAGTGTAGCTACCACTGGTATAGCTTAGTTCATCTCCTTCCAGGCCTTCTTCTCTGCTCGCTTGAAACATATGTGTATGTTTGCATGTGGCCTTTTTTTCCCAAGAACATTGGAATTATACTCTACTTTCCTGCAACTTAACTTTTCCTTCCTGTTCAGTTATTTCAGGTTGATCTATCCCATTCTCTTTTAAGACTACACAGTATTTTGTAGTATTGATATAGCCATCATTTGCCCATTTCTCTGTCGTGAGCCATTTAAGTTGTGTCCAGTTTTCCACCATTACAAACAATGCTGCAGTAAGTACCACCAATTTATATTTCAAGTTGCTTTTTAATTTTAACAGGGCTGTGGAAACTGAAGTCATTACAGAGTTTGGATCTGTCATTCAATGGGATAACGCAAATTGGTTTGTCTGATTTTCATAACTGCCTGCAACTAGAAAGCCTCCATTTAAAGAGCAACAAGATATTCAGAATTCATCCAGAAGCCTTCAAGGACCTAAAAAAATTACAGGTTAGAAAATAGTGTTTATACTATTTCTAATATGCAGAACTATAGGCAATTCTATTAGAAGAATACTTCCATTGAAGAGTTTCTTCATGCCCAGTAGTACTGGCTACCAATCAAAAAATATAAGTCTACTTTAAGATGCCCCTAAAAGAGCTGAAGTCTCTCTCTTGCCTCAAAAATCCAAGGCCTCAGTAGTGGACATGAATGTGGACATTTTATTTGAACATGTATGCTCAGCAGCAAGGATTGGTTCATTATTTTTCCTAAATCTAATTAAACCCAACTCCAAGCTTCCACTTACCAATTGGCAAGAAATTAAATCTCGGTTATTAGCAAGGCTCCCTCCCTGAACTACAGGGTCAGTCAAAGGTCCCTGGGGTTTTATGCAATTTGAGACTATATGGGCCTAAATGGGCTCTACACCCCATAGAGCCCAGGACCACATGGGCCTCTGAAGGCCAGTGACCCTGATGCTTCCACACCAAAATTGGGCACAGAATAATACAAATCATAATGATATCAACTCATCCTTGCATCCCACTTACCACGTGCCACACGCAGTTCTAAACATCAGAGCCATGTTGGGGGGATCGACGTCACATTTTGGAGGCGTGGTGCCTGTCTCTCGGGCACCTTGCAGTGAATCTCACCGAGGTCCTGACAGCTGGGAGTGTGAGTAACCCCTAGAGCCCTGCTCCAGCTTTGGCAGCTTCAGCCCCTTCTCCTCCTAGCCCCTTCCTCCTCTCTCCTCCTCTTTGGGGAGATATTGTAAAATCCCCCCTCGGTGCTCCTTTAGAAACACCAGGACCTAGAGATGCCTTAGGAGAAGCTTGAATTCCCCGTCCTGGTAACCTGCACCACACACCCCCATTCTTTATATAGGCCAGTATCATCGAATAAAGCATAATGTGGGCCACATATGTAACTTTAGATGTTCTCGGTAACTAGATTTAAGAAGTAAAAATAAGCAGGTGAATTTAATTTTACTAATATATTTTGTAACCCAATATATCCATATATTATCTTTTACACATGTAGTCAATGTAAAAATTATTAATGAGATATTTTCCATTCTCTTTTTTCATACTAAGTCTTCAAAGCCCTGTGTGTATAGCTGATGCTTGGTATCCAAGGGGATTGGTTCCAGGACCCCCATGGGTACCAAAATCTGTGGATCCTCAAGTCCCTTATGTAAAATGGCATAGTACTTGCGTATAACCTAAACACATCCTCCCATACACTTTAAATCATCTCTAGATCACTTACAATAATACAATGTAAATGCGATGTAAATACAATGTAAGTGCTATGTAAATGGTTGCCTGTGCAGGACAAATTCAAGTTTTGCTTTTTGGAACACTCAGCATTTTTTTTTTTTAAACTATTTTCTGTCCATGGTTGGTTGAATCTGAGAATGCAGAAACCACAGATATGGAGGGCAGACTGTATCTTACCCTTACTGCACATCCCAGTTTGGACTAGCCATAGCATAGCTGCAAGACAAATGCCCAACCTCGCCCCCGCCCCTTTCAACCGGAATGGCCCTCCAAGCCCGTCCTCTCTCGGAGACTAGTGACGCAGTGGTGAGGGAGGTCGACTCTGCAGCCAGCTGCCTGAGTTTAAACCCAGGCTCTGCCGCTCGCCAGCCACACGATCTTGGGTAAGTTACCGAATCACCCTTTGCTTCAATTTTCTCATCTGTAAAAGGGAGGTAAGTTGCTTCCTTTTTCATAGAGTTTTGTGAGAATTAAATGTTTTAATCCGTAGACTGTGCTTTGAACAGTAGTTGGAATACAGTAAGCCCTTTATAAATGTAGACTACGTATAGAAATTCTAAAGTGGTTGCGACGCCCTACTCTTTTTTTTTTTTTTTTTTTTTTTTTTGCGGTACGGGGGCCTCTCACTGTTGTGGCCTCTCCCGTTGAGGAGCACAGGCTCCGGACGCGCAGGCTCAGCGGCCATGGCTCACGGGCCCAGCCGCTCCGCGGCATGTGGGATCTTCCCGGACCGGGGCACGAACCCGTGTCCCCTGCATCGGCAGGCGGACTCTCAACCACTGCGCCACCAGGGAAGCCCAGCTCTACTATTTTAACATACAAATCTGATTGTAAGCTTTCACGACAAGGGCCTGGCCCCTGCTTGCCCCTCCAGCCTCATTTCAAGCCACCTTCCCCTTGCTGACTGCATTCCTGCCTAGTTTTCACCCCAAGCCCTCCCCTATTGCTGATCCTTTTGCCTGGAAGAGCTAACTCTTACTACTCCTCAAGGAAGCCTTCCCTGGGTCTCCAGATTGAATTAGTTTCCCTTTATGCACAGGTATAGTAGACTATGCTTTTTCCATATTGCACGTATGGAAACTGAAATTATTTCATTCTAGGTATGGTTTAGCCATTAATGCCTATATCCCCATAACCCTTCTACCAGACGGTGAGCTCTTTGAGGACATACATCATGTCTATTTTGTTTTCTAATGCTTAACATATGCCCAGTACATACCATGTATTTACAAACACTTGTTGAATAAACAAAGGAACGAACGGCTAGTTGATGATCATGGATAGGTGTATTTGTTATCTATTGCTGAGGTCAGCAATCCAGGCAAGGCTTGCCTGGGGCCTCTGCTGAAGGTGTCTCAAGAGGCTGCAGTCAAACCACGGAGGGCAGGTGGGCGACGAGCAGGCCCAGGGGCCGGGAGGCTGCGGGCAGTGGCGCTGTGCCCGGCGTAGCCAGAGAGGCCCCGAGATGCCAAGCAAGAGGAGGTACAACGTGTGGCTCCCACCGGCCCGGATCAAGAAGATCGTGTAGACGGATGAAGAGATTGGGAAGGTGGCGGCGGCTGTGCCTGTCATCCTCTGTCGGGCGCTCGAGCTTTTCCTGGAGTCACCGTGGAAGAAGGCCTGCCGGTGACCCAGTCCTGAAACGCCAAGACCGTGACCACATCCCACTGGAAGCAGTGCATTGAGCTGGAGCTGCAGTTTGACTTCTTGAAGGATCTGGTGGCATCTGTGCCTGACATGTAGGGGGATGGGGAAGACAACCACATGGGTGGGAACAAGGGTCCCCGCAGGGGCCGGAAGCCAGGCGGCAGTAGCTGGAAGAATGGTGGGATGCGAAGCAAGGGCGAAGACAAGAAGCTGTCAGGGACAGGCTCACTGCAGGAGGATGTCTGAGGGTACAGACACTGACGGGGAAGAAGAGACACCACTGCCCCCATCCCAGGCCAGCCACCTCCCTGCCCACTTCCAGAGCCCCCCTGACACCCTTCATGCCCTTCATCTCGACTCAGCCTCTGCCCCCAGCACCCCACCCCCTGGGCCCCTCAGCACCTGAGGCAGAGAATGAAGAGGATTATGACTCATAGCGCCCTCTGCCCCCCAGGCCACACCCGCTTTTAGCTGGGTTTAGTTGCTCTGGGGGAAAGAGAGAAGTTAGAGCTGTTCTTAAGTTTATTATCGGATGAATGGATAAAGAAGATGTGGCACATATATACAATGGAATATTACTCAGCCATAAAAAGAAACGAAATTGAGCTATTTGTAATGAGGTGGATGGACCTAGAGTCTGTCATACAGAGTGAAGTAAGTCAGAAAGAGAAAAACAAATACCGTATGCTAACACATATATATGGAATATAAGAAAAAAAAATGTCATGAAGAACCTAGGGGTAAGACGGGAATAAAGACACAGACCTACTAGAGAATGGACTTGAGGTTACGGGGAGGGGGAAGGGTAAGCCGTGACAAAGCGAGAGAGAGGCATGGACATATATACACTACCAAACGTAAGACAGATAGCTAGTGGGAAGCAGCCGCACAGCACAGGGAGATCAGCTCGGTGCTTTGTGACCACCTAGAGGGGTGGGATAGGGAGGGTGGGAGCGAGGGAAACGCAAGAGGGAAGAGATGTGGGAACATATGTATATGTATAACTGATTCACTTTGTTATAAAGCAGAAACTAACACACCATTGTAGAGCAAATATACTCCAATAAAGATGTAAAAAAAAATTAAAAATTAAAAAAAAGTTTATTAATAAAATAATAATAAAAGGGGGGGGGAAAGGCTGCAATCAAGGTGTTGGCCAGGGCTGTAGTCTCACCTGAAGGACCAACTGAAGAAGGATCCGCTTCCAAGCCCACGTGGTTGTTGGCAGGATTCAGTTACACGTGGGCTACTGGGCTTCGGGTGCCACTCCTTACTGGCTGTCAGCCTAAGCCTGCCCTCAGTTCTGTGCCGTGTGGACCTCCCCACAGGGCAGTTCACAGCATGGCAGCTCGCTTCAGAGCCCGAAGGAGAGAGCCTGCTAAGCAAGAACATCACAGTCTTATGGAATGTAATCGTGGAAGGGACATCCATTGCTTTTGCCATGGTCTGTCGGTTAGAAGAGAGGCACAGGTCTTGCCTATGCTCAAGGGGAGGAGATGACCCAGATGGTGTGAATATGGGGGCAGGTTATTGGGGACCTGTCTGCCGTCGTAGTTATCAGAGCAGACGAGAAAGTCCACTTAACTTGGCAGTGCTCTCGGGTTCACCACAAACAGGCCGTCAGATTGCCTGGGAACCTCATTTAGCATATTGTATACTGATGATATTTGTATGTGTAATTTCCCTATGCCTGTTTTATTTCCTGTGCATTTTCACTGTGCTTTATAAGTCTTCTGCAGCTCACAGGTAATAGATGCTACAGGCAAACTGAAAAACAAGCCCAAGAATGTTCTGAATCATCTGTAATTCTAAATTACCTGAGCTGCCCAGAATCATACAATTTCTCCTGCTCTATTAACCCTTCTGCCTGTTCAGCAATAACTCTAAAAACTTCTTTGGGAACGTGATGAGCATATTTGGTACCAGAAAGTCGAATATTAAAATGGATGTAGTTGGGTTTTTTTCCAGGAGACGTATTTAATACTTGCATTATATATTACGTGTCTTTCCACGTGGGCATCTTTTCAGAAGCCAGATAGATTTCTCAAAGCATAAATTCATCATCCTGTGGAGGTAGAATGAAATGTTTCATTGGCATTTCAAATAAGGGTTCTTTTTCCTCTGCCATTTTTCTTAGAGCAGTGACTTGCCAGCAACATTATATGCTTCTCCCAATCTTTCTATAACGTACACTCCTTTCAAATGACAGTGGATGGCCACTTCTTTAGCCAAATTGGACTATTCTGTTTTAATCTTTTCTCAGAAATTATTCCTCCTGAATCATTTGATTAGCTCTCTGTCCTCTCTTCTGTTTTGCTTTTAGTTTCATGATTTATAATATAACAGCTGCTAGGATGGAAAAAAAAATGCAGACATGCACTAAGAAGAAAATACCCCCCAAAACATTAGAATATTTCACCCTTTTGTTGGGGGGGGTACATAGAAAACTATTGATCCTAGTCAAGGCCAGGCCAAAGCAAAGTTTTGTGGGGTTTTTATTTTCCTTCCTGGTCCCAGTCTCCTACTTCCTATTTTTGACAGCCTTCCCTTGGGAGCCAAGAGTGCTTGGTTACTCAACAGTGCAAAGGTCCCCCTCACTACTGAGTCTTGGTTATGGTGCTGTTTGAGTGTTTGTCTGAGTAAAAGCTCTTCTCAGGAATTTATATAACCCAAGATACCAGTGCTGCTTTTTCCCTGATGTTTATTAAACAATTGACCTGAATTACATTCAGCCTCCATGGTTTTCATCCATGGCCCTCTTTTTTACTTTTCAGCAAGCTTTGCATTTATGATTTTCTCCCAAACCCCATGACCCCACTCTGGTGACTCATGCTCCGGGCCTCCTCTGTGCATCCCTTCACTCCAGTGCAGTGGGAGCTCAGGCTCCGAGAGGCTGTGTTCTGGAGTGGAAGGCACACAGCTACGGAGCCAGATCAGATCTCAGCTCTGCCATTCACTCATTCATTCATTCATTCATTCCTCCCTCCATTATTTTCTGCGCACCTGGTACCAAGCCTTAGGAGTCGGGATTATATGGGATATACTGTGACCTAGCCCAGTTTCCTCCTCTGTAAAAAGGGGGAAATGACAAAGTTGTTGGGAGGAATAGACATAATGCATGTAAAGCACCCAGTAGGATGCCTGGTACACAGCAATGCTCCGCAAATGGTAGCTAGAGCTACACCTAACTATGCTGTCCTGGCCACATCACACCACCGCCATATCCAGCTTCACAGATCCTACTCTGTGTTTTTAGAGTCACTGAATCCTTTTTGTTCCCCAGTTTCCCCTTCATTTCTGATGAGACTAGGAAAATTAGTCATTTTGTTTATACTGAGTAGCCATGGATGCAGAGAAATGTACTATTACCTTTAAGGTAATACTTGATGCAAAAGAACTCTCTTTGCCATTTTTAGTCAACCACAGTTCTTCTGGGCTCTGTGTCCTCATCATTCAGTATCTCCTGCCACTTTCAAGGCCACAGTGCTTCTAGACATTCGAGACCTGATCTCTAATTCCAGACCTTGATAACAACTGGGAGTCTAGGTTATATCGAACAGTACAAATCACAGTTCATAGGAAAGAAGGAAGGAAACGTGATTGGGCATCTAATACAGGCACCATACTTAAAGTTTTCACATACATTTAATCCTCAGAACAACCCTGGGAGGTAGGCTCATTGAGAGTCAACAATTTGCCGAGTCTCACAGAGTTCTTAGGGACAGAGCAGAGAATTAAACCCAGTATTCTGACTCCGAAATCAGTGCTAAATTCATATGGCTTCCATAGAGATATAGACAGTATCTGTAACTAGTTTATTTTGTCTCCAAATGTCTTTATTCACAGACTGTCCTAAATTTGCTTCTTCTCAAGCAGGTTGTAGACCTCAGCAACAATGCTCTGACCGCCATTCTGCCGATGATCATGGCTCTGGAACTTCCCCACCTGGAGGCTGACTTGGCTGTTAACCAGTGGCAGTGTGACTATAGCGTGGAAGTCTTCCAAAATGTTATTTCTGAATCCTGGAGAAAAAAGTGGAATGCAATTTGCAACAAGTCTATTGGTAAGTCAGTAGTGCCTCTTCTCTCAGAAATGGTTCCATTTAAACAGAAAAGAGACATGAAAAATTTAGTCTCATTTGAAACAATGACAGTCCCCCCAGAAGCAAGAGTGCTGATCTATGGCATTAATCATCCTTGGGCTGTATCACAGAAAAATCATTGGTACCTAACTCTTCTCCTCAGTTCATGAACGAGTTTCTTCACGTGGTGAGAAACCTAGTTCAGCTAGCTCAGAAAGCACTGGCTTTGGTCAAAACGAGAAATTTCACAAAGAATTTTTCCCTGAAGCCCCAAAATGTCATATTTTTATCCCAAATATTAATAAAATAACTGATCAAAGAAAGGACTTCTAAAACTTGAAACATAATTATTTAAAATGCTGGCTAACCCTCTGAAAGGATAATCCTACACATACACAAAACACACATATTTCAAAAGTATATTTTTCTTTGATCTGTTCCCTGCCACTCTCCCAAACTGCTAGAATACGTTACTGCAACTGAATATTTTGGAAAGCTTCTGCCCCCCCCCCCACTATTAACTATCTTGGCTAATTCTCAAACTCTTAACTGGGGGGAAAAAAAAAAAGAGTCATTTTTTAAAAAATGAGTCCTGGCCTCTGTTCTATTCAGGACTGCTATTAAGTAGAGACATGGCCATGCTTACCAGGTTTAGGAGAAATCCATGAAGATTAGAGAGAAGTCTTAATGGTGTCAGCCACACTTGGTTCATTGCCCTGTAAGAGCCACACGGGCATTCTGAGTGTGGAGGGCAGAATGTCAGGAACCAGCAGAGAAACCCGAATATTTTTGCTGTTTGCCAGCACCGAGGAATAGTGAGGAAATGATATAGCAAACACAGGTGTGGCCAAGGCAGATTTTTGCAGAGGGTTGATGGAATGTTCTCGTAAATGTGCAGTAAGTAAGGGAAGGCTGTGGAGAAAGGAGGAACAATGTGGCTGTCCCTACAGACTGGTTTCCTTTCTCCTGTGGGCAGCAGTCAGTCAGGAAGCTTAAGAAACACAGTCTCCCGGGCCTGGGAGCAGCAGACCCGAGCCTGAGAGCCTCGTGTAAGTGTGCACAGAGCCTGACACGTGCTGTTGGCATCAACAACCAATCAAGCAATCAGTCAGTAAAGTTGCTAATCGTGTAATACCCACTTTAAATCTAGCTAGACGAGGACTGAGGACTCACAGGTGCTTTTTATTTATTTATTTATGGTTTTATTTATTTATTTTGCGGTACGCGGGCCTCTCACTGTTGTGGCCTCTCCCGTTGCGGAGCACAGGCTCCGGAGGCGCAGGCTCAGCGGCCATGGCTCACGGGCCCAGCCGCTCCGCAGCATGTGGGATCTTCCCAGACCGGGGCACGAACCCTTGTCCCCTGCATCGGCAGGCGGACTCTCAACCACTGCGCCACCAGGGAAGCCCACAGATGCCTTTTAAACCACTGGAATCTCATTCCCGTGTCAACTCTGCGTGTGCTTTTACCCCCACTCTCAGGGAAGGAGGAGGCATACTGGTGGACGCCCACAAGGCGCGTGTCCAGAGAGACCCACCTTCCTCGCACTAATCTGAATCATACGAAAAGCCTCGCGACGAGCACAGCTGAGAGGCCCTGGGAAGTGCGCTTTTCCACTCTGCGCAAGAAGGACCCTGCGGGCTCTGACACCAGTGACAGGGAGAGGCGGCTGCCAGGAAGGGTTAGGAGCACCGAGGATGTGCAAGCTGCTGGCAGAAGGGAGGACGCTTCCCAGGACCTGGTCCTGGCCGTCTGTCTGTCAGTGTCCATCACGTTCTTCGTGGCTTTCTGCCTGGGGGCTTTTGCGAGGCCTTATGTGGACAGACTGTGGCAACAGAGATGCCGGAAAAGAAGTCCAGGTTCAGGGAACGTGTATTCAAACCAGGGCTTCTGCGATGAAATCGAAGCTGTAGGGAACATGGAGCAGACAAGGATGGATCTGCGCCAAACTTTCCACGATCCAAACCTCTGTGAGAACCAAGCCCCACACGCGGCTGTCACTCCTGCGAGAACGCTGGCACCGAGCAGAAAGGAGGCTGGCGGCGGGCAGGGCGGAGAACGATGCGGGGACCACACTGGGGCAGGAAGCGGGAAGGAAAACGCACTCCCAAATCACGGTGCGGCCCGGCCCGTTCTCCGCGGATGGCTGAATGCTGATGATACCCAGCTAATGCCGGCGGGACAGGACCGCATCTCCAGGTATGATATTCCTGGAGAAGTAAATTATGACACTGTGGCCGGGGAAGGTTCCCTCGGTGAGCGATCAGTGGGCATCCCTGCCGTGGCTGCCACATTACAGACAAGCCCTGGCTCAATCTGTAAGGATTCCAACGAATTAGGCCCACCCATCCCCAGGGAAATGACCACGCCTCTCTCCCAAATGGTGGCGCGTACAAAAGCGCTGAGGGCTGGAGAGAAGGAGGGGAGAGGGGGCAGTCCACACTTCCCTTCGGAGTTTTCTAAGGAGAATGTGATGAGCGCACAGCAGCAAAGGCTCGAGGGCGCCGTTGACGAGGAAGAGCCCCTCGCCCACTACGGAGCGGCCACGCTCAGTGACCCAGGAGCCAAGGACCCGTCCCCACCCGTCTTCGCTCCGGGGTGGGGTCATGACCTGCATGTGACTCCTGCTAGCAAGGAACTAGCACAAAAGGACACGCCTGACGCTCAGTACGAGTTGGACACCGATTCTGACGAAGGGTCTTTATTTACTCTAAGTTCAACAAGTTCAGAAGACTGGAGAAATGTGGCTGAAGCAGAGGCACATGGTGAGGAGAGCTGCAGAGCCAACGAGCCCCTGGGGGACGAGGACTCAGGGGAGAGGAGGGACAATGTCGTGTCATTAGAGAGTCTTGAGGACAGCATCGCCTTCCAGAAGATTCTGGAGAAATGTGAGAATCAGGAACATCATTCTGGAAAAACTCTCATTTCTGATCCAGACTACGGTTTGTACGCGACTCATCCGGAAAGTGGCTCTAACACCAATAAATTTAAGGATCCATTGACCTTGCCCAGGTCACTGGGCAACAGTCCTTGCAGTGATGAGATCCCAGGCATGTCCATTTACGACTGTGTCACAGCTCTTCAATCCAAGGCAGCAGAGTGGCAATGCTCACTTAGAGACTTGGAGTTTTCAAATGTAGATGTTTTACCACAAACGCCAACATGTTCTGCTGAAGGTCCCTCAGATCCTGGAGAGTGCCTGTGGTGAAGGAGATGCAGACATTTGTAAATATGAACATTACGTTCAGGGAGTAGACACAGCTCAAAGCAATATTCCTTCCAAGATCGCTGTGGGGAAAAACTTAAGACCCTCACGACAAGTTTCTGAAGAGGACAACATGAATGGGCACTGATGAGGGGTTCGTATGTCCTCTTGAGGACAGTGATTCCAGAAAGGTTATAAGCCAAACACAATTGTTACACTCCTGTGGTGACGAACCAGACCTTCAGTGTGAAAGGGAGTGGTGTGGTGGGAGGGGTATTTTGAAGATGGTGTCAAGAGCCAGGTACCACTATTACAGATGCTTCCAAATGAAACCAGTTCACTAAGAACACGGGAGCATTTCAGTGACAGAGACTGGGGTCAACATTCAGAGCCGAATCAGTGAATTTGATTCTCTAAATTCTTCCCTATGTTTAGTTAATTCTAATATAAAACTACCATTCACAAGACATAGATCATTTAGGTAGGAAAGCACTGAGATATTTGAACATCAAAGGTTCCAATTAATAAATTTTACATTAAAACTTAACACTGATGATGTTGCAGTTAGGAAAAGATGATTCTAATTTTTATACTCAAATGCAGACCCAGAGAAACCTGATGGTTGTTGGCTGTCTATAAGCATGTTCAAGTCCCTTCAACATTCACAATGAAGAACGGAAACACCACCCTGCTGCTCCCTCAGAATACCACCTTCTTTTCTCCTTTATAGCTAGGCTTCTCCAAGGAATAGTCAGCAACTGTCTGTTGACACACCAGCATACCGTGGTCAGGTTTCAGCTCACCGTTTCTTTAACCCATGCCAGTAGAGGTCACCAACAACCTCCAATGGGACATGAATGGACTCCAGTCTCATCAGGTAAAACCTCTGCAGCTTTGGACACTGTCGGCCACTCCCAACTTGACATTCTTTCTCTGTAGTTTTGTGACACAACTCTGTAAAGGTGAGGATCCCAGCAGGACCCAGACGGCAAGAAACAGGGATGACTAGAGAGAGTTTAGTGAAAGAACCATTTGGAAAGAACCGGACAGGATGAAGGGAAATTAGTAAGGGAAGGTGAAGGACCTAAAGGCTAGTTATAAATAGGGGAAAGCCTTTCCCACACTTAGGCCTGAAGAGACAAGGGGAATTGCAGCTACGGGTGCACAGCAGGAGCTGTGGCCTCTGGTAGAGGAACACAGCCACCAGGAATCCATTGTCCAGTAGGAGGAAGCCAAGAGAATCACCACCTGAACTCTCTCCTCACCCTCCAGCCTTCCCAGTGGCTGACCTCTGCAAGCCAGAGGGCAGTCCACAGCGGTCAGCCTTCCAGGCCACAGAGCAGGACAGAGGGGGAGAAAGTCAATTTGGAGAAGAGATTTGGGCAAATAGGGACCATACAGCACGTACTTGCTTTCGATTCTTCTACGATTCTGGTCACTCTCAGGCTCCTTCTACCTCCTCTTTCTGTGTTTGCCTGGTAAATACCTACGTTTCCCAGGGTTTGGTCCCAGACCTCCTTGTCTTCTCACTCAATGTCCTTTCCCCATGTGAGGTGTCACTTGTCATGGCTTTTCCACCATCACCTAATTGCTGCTATTCCCTGCTTCTGTATCTCCAGCTCTGAAATCTTTCTGGAGCTTTACACTCACATCCAGCTGCCTGTTGGATATCCCCATGGGCACTTCTAACCAAGCAATGCCTATGCCAACAGTGAAACTCAGCAGCAACCCCTAATCCTCTCCATCCACCCAGTCTGATCCCCCGAGTTCCATTTCAGTATCTGCTCCATCCAGAAACCCAGGAGTCTTCCTCTCTTCACTGCCCACATCTAATTATTGGCCTAAAGGCCTGGCATTTAATAGGTTCTCAATATATGGATTTATTAAATAAATGAATGAAAACAAACTCTTTAGTGTGATACACAAGGATGTCGGTGACCTGGCCCGGCTTTCCATTCAACTTTCCATGTGGCATTTATCTCTCTGTGCCCTACCTCCTTCCTGAAAGCCACAGTTACAGACACACCAGACTATGTCACCCCACCACGCCTTGCCCACCTGCTCCCCACATCTGGGGGCACGTCTGGCCTCTCTGCTAAGCCCTGCCTCACCTGCCTGGCAAATATCTCTGCTGTTTTCGAGACACTGTTTAAGGTCACCTCCTCCATGAGCCTTTCTTGGCTTATTCCACCCAAGTAGAACAGACCCCTTCCTTCCTTCCTTCGGCCCCCGCTGCACTGCTGTTCATTATGGAGAAAACAAGGTTTCACGTGGTTTGATTGACATCTACTAGAGACTCTTCTATGGGCCAACATCCAACTTCTGGGTGAAGTTCAGTGCCAGCATAGAGTCTACAAAGCCTAAAAATCATCTCAGAGTTAGCTGTTACTTTATAAAGTGAAAAATTACTTTCTATTTCAGCAGCACTGAGAAAAAAGTATATACAGTTTTGACTATTTTTGTTTGTTTTTGTTCACACTTCCAAAACCAAAGCTTCTGGTAATGTGGCATAAACATCACAGGCATTGCAGTTTAGTAGCTCTGTGTCTCAGCAAGCACTCATAAAAACAAAACTTTAAAACCCCTCTCAATACGCCTTGCTGTAGGCTTGGCTAACACGGCTTGATGTGAGTGAGATTTGAGGCCTGCTACTTCCAGATTTCCAAAATGTCTCACCTTTGGGGTCTGCCCCCAAATTGACTCAAACTTTAAACTACCTAAGTTCCATAGATCTCCTTTACCCCAATTCCCCCCTCTGTTTTAGTTTCACTTATTTGGATTATGTCTCTAGTTCTATTTTTACACAAATGACCTTTAAAACATCACACTTTTCATTAAGATAAGTCTTTTTGCATTTCTTTAGCAGAGTAACTCAATTTTTTATCAGCCTAACAATTCCATAATAGCATATTTTCATCTAAGAAACATTTAAAAAATCCCTGGCATAATTTACCTCTACATGTTGCTAAAACTATTAAATACAACTTAGACTAATGGCTGCAAACCCAACATATGAAACATTAAAATCTTTTCTTTTTTGAAGAGCAACTAGTGCCACATTTAATTGTCTTTTTAATGTTATCTTCTACCCTTCAGGTTCAACAAAGTCAGTTTTGGTTCATGTTGACAAAATTTTCCCCTAACCCTCTAGAATGGTTCAATATGTAAGGCCTCAGGTCTCTCCCTCACTCCTCAGGAAAGATTCATCCAGTTCTTTTCAGTGGCCATGCAGGGCAAAGGAGAAAATCCCGGGAGTAACAACCAGGAATAACCGCTAGAACCACCAAATGGCAAAAAAATGCAAGCAAAGAGATATCGCCATATTTCCAGTCTATTTGAAAGACAAAATCCATTCAACTCAAAGCTACAAGTTTTCTTTGAAGTACCTTCAGACCCAAGGGAGATGCAGGTGAGAGGGGGAGAAGGGGTTCCTATAGCCTGTGAATTTCACCAGTGCTTTATACTAGATGACTATGTCATCAAATAAAGTAAGTGGCAGGCCACAGACTTAACAGCAGGAGGGCTCATGAGCCTACCCACTAATAAGTAAAGGGGAGAGAGTGCCATCTTTCTGTTGCGTGAAAAATCTTATATTCGTGAGAACTTGAGGGCAAGAACTGTGGCTGTCTGAACATTGTTTCTGCATAAACTTCAGCCAGTTTATATTTTTCAAATGTTCTACTGCTATCTGAAAATTCTAGGTGATGTGGGCAATGAAAGTGTTCATGAGTTTTAAGGCTCTGTGGACTCTATAATTTAACATATAACAAATGTACTTCGGTTGCCAGAATGAACAAGGACATCCCGAACCTGGACTAGAAATCTTTTCAGTCTTTTGCCGACGAGTATTTCATCTGCCTTTGTGTGTCTATGTATCTGCAATCCTGAGGCAATTAGTACGCTTAAACATAATAACATCTTTGCTCCTTTGAATAAATATAACACGTTACTTGAAAAGAAAATTCTTATTATTTTTCTTTGAATATCGTTATTGACTCTGGCTTTTCATGACTCAATATGTTGTAATTACCATAATTTTTTTGTTTTATTTTTATTTTTTGATACTCAAATTGTTGCAATTTGGTCAATGCATCCCCCTTTAAGCTGGTTTCTGTGTCCTTCTTCAGAATTTCTAAAGCATCATTACTTTCTGGCTATAAATGTTCCAAGTCAGCCTAGACTATTACCCCAAGAATGGAATTAGCCTCTATCCAAGGAGACCTGCCTTCATTTAGTGGAGAATAAATAGTTCTGGTTTGTCTGCTATAAGGTGAAATGTGCATTACTGAAAAACCTCACATTCTACAAAATCGCACATTAAAAGTCATGGGGCTTATGGGATAAATAAAGTTGGGGAGGGCTTCCCTGGTGGCACAGTGGTTAAGAATCCGCCTGCCAATGTAGGGGACACGGGTTCGAGCCCTGGTCCGGGAAGATCCCACATGCCGTGGAGCAACCAAGCCCGTGAGCCACAACTACTGAGCCTGCACTCTAGAGCCCACAAGCCACAACTACTGAAGCCCGCGTGCCTAGAGCCCATGCTCCGCCACAAGAGAAGCCACCGCAATGAGAAGCCTGCGCACTGCAACAAAGAGTAGCCCCCGCTCATCGCAACTAGAGAAAGCCCGCGCACAGCAACGAAGACCCAACACAGCCAAAATTAAATAAAATAAATAAATTTAAAAATAATAAAGTTGGGGAGACCACTCAAAATAGGCAACCTTGTAACCAAAGGACTAAGGAAAACAATCACTGGTACCTTGGAAATCACCTTGGACCACCCAGGCAGGCAGCTAGACATGCCTAGAGGCTACAACAGTAGACATTAAAAATTCACATAAACATTGAGTGGCAATGCTGGCCACAGTTTAGTTAGAGCAGGGCTGGGGGGGGGGGGGGGGGGTGCTGGGACAATCCAGCCCAAACCAGCTCCAAGCCAGGAACTTCCCAGGCACAGGAGCCAAAAGTGGCACAAGGCTGGGGTGCACCTCTCTGGGCCTCCCCAGAGAGCCCGATGCAGGTGCTCATTTTCAATGTTCACAAAACACAGCTAAAGGATTCCTACTCCCAGTACAGCACTGAATTGTGGGACTGTTTTCTTTCCTGCTGAAGGTTCCAATTCTACTCCTCCTCTTCTGGCTCCCCTTGCCTAGAAAAAATCTGATATGATCAAACTTGACTTCTAGGTTAGACTGACATCATTCTTTAATTGCACATGAACTAATTCATACGGTAGAAACATGCTTTGTGAAACCATCCATTTCTTCTCTCTTTGTATATGCAGGGTACATTGAGAGGTGGAGACTATTCTCCCACCTCCTCGAATCTGAGCTGACCTGTGACTGCTTTAACCAATAGAGTACAGCAGAAGCGACACTGTAGGCCTTCCAAGATTGTCATAAGAACTTTTGCAGCTTCTGCCTGGGTGCCTTGGAATGCTCGCTCTGGGTGAAGCCAGCTACCACATAAGAAGTTCAGTTACCCTAAGGCCACCATACTGTAAGGAAGCTCAGGCTAGCTGTGTGGCGAGAGAGATGCCCAACCAGCTCCCCACTGTTCCAGACTCCCCATCGGATGTCAGATATTTAAAGATGATGACTTCAGGGAGTTCCCTGGTGGTCTAGTTGTTAGGACTCAGCGCTTTCACTGCTGTGGCCTGGGTTCAATCCCTGGAGGGGGAACTGAGATCCTGCAAGCCTCGTGGCACAGCCAAATTAAAAAAAAAAAAATATATATATATATATATATATATATATATAAAATAAAGATATATATACTTCAGCCACAGGCCACACCTGACTGCACCCTGTAAGACCCAAAGTAAGAACAACTCAGCCGAACCTGTCAACCTCCAGAAATGTGAGAGATAATAGTATCAACAGATTGTTGCTTTAAGCCACTAAGTTTTAGGGTTGTCTGTTATGTTGTTGACCAGAACATGGAGGAATATACTATACTAGCATATGAAAATTAGGCATAAGAATGGAGAATAGATTATCTGTGTTGAGTGTAGTATTGGGGTAACTGTAGCTGGGCTATTTAGAGGCAGAGTTAGAAAAGGTCTCCTTTGTATATATGAGTTCACATGAACACTTTTAAGGTTTAGTTTTACATTTGCTCTGTGACATACCTGCTAAAACTTTTAGCTTCTCTTCCTAACTTTAATTTTAACTCCTTTTCTTTCATAATTTGCTGTCATAGCTTTATTTATAACTTAAAATCAAATAATATAACTACTTGTTTTATCCTTCCACACAAAATAAGTCTAAAGTAAAAATGTTAATATTAACACAGATAATAAGGCTACTGGATGATTAATAAGGTTTAACATTGCAGTGTTCGGCAGCTGTATTTGTACATATCCCATTACTGATTGCTACTCAGCAAACAGTTTGATTTTGATTTATTTTGTTATCTTTGTTTTGATTTATTGGGGTTGAAACATAAACAAAGCTTCCTGTTGTGTTTAGGTTTTGAGATTGTTGAAAGCCTTATCTTTACCATGCTACTGTTTCAAATACCAGAAATTATAATGTACTTCCTAAAGTATTAGTAGAAACAGAAACAGCTATTAGCAGAGAAAGGAGAAAACATAACTTGTTTTAAGTTTATTTACATTTGCAGTCATTAACAAGTACCATTTTTTTCTATTTACTATCTCTTACCTGTATTTTGTGACTTTTTAAACTTCTCTAAAATCTGTTTCATGATTATTGACATCCAAATGAACAATACAGGTTTACATTTCACGTGGGTCAAAAGAAGCTTTTATCATAAAACAGTGTGATAACAAGAGAGTTCTGATGGCTTTACACTGAATGGCTGGGAAACAGCCAAAAACAATTATCACCAGAGATAGGCAGTCTCACTGACCTGAGACTTTGTCTCAACCCTATCATTTAGCAAATATGTACTGGTGGCAACACCTTCTCTTTTCAACAAAGGTATTATTTGCATATGATGCCCAATTAAACAAATGTACATTTAGGTGCAAGAGCATCTGCTCACAGTTCCCTTTTTTTGAGAGAAAAAATTTTAAATACATCTGATAAAGGACTTGTATCAACAATATATAAAAAACTCTTATGACTCAACAATAAAACAACAAACATCCTGATTTAAAAATAGGCAAAAGGGCTTCCCTGGTGGCGCAGTGGTTGAGAGTCCGCCTGCCGATGCAGGGGACACGGGTTCGTGCCCCGGTCCGGGAGGGTCCCACGTG